GGGGCCTCGGTCGGAAACATAATTACATCAGGAGTACATTGAGTGAAGTTTCCTACATGTACATTGTATTTCCCCTGCTGTCAGTAAGTTATTACATTTTCATCTCCATTTTGGATATCACAGCCCCCTGGTATCTGTACTGTACAAAACTAATCAACTCTATTTTTTGCATTTCTTTTTTTTATTCTAATAAGCCAGATTGTGAAATATTTTGAGACCAGAATAACAATGGCGGTGATCAAAAATCATTTAATGTAAGAAGCTCATGGAGCTTCTCATCCACGAAGAGGACACTTGCATTGATGCATGCTGCAGGACAGGTTAGTGAATTTAGCAAACACTATTCTTTTTCAACTTCACAAAACCTCTCCAAGAAATTGTAGTCATAATAAGTAACGGAAATTACAGGGTTAAATTTATAAAAAATACTCTCAGGAATTTGTTAATTTTTTGTTAAGTGCCGGGTTTACAAGAATAAAGCAAATTTTGTTTCTTCTCTTGAAAAATTCCAAAATAGGCCGTCAGCTGAGACTAAGAAACAGGATGTAAAAATGAGTTCCGTTCCAGTAATGCTGGGAATACTTTTTGAATGCATATTTGTGAGGTTCTGTACATCCCAAACGTTCTCCAAAAAAATCCTGCAATTTTTTTAATAATTCCATCTCAAAGTGTGTCACAGTCTTGAATGGTATAATGCACAGTACATGTATATGTATGCACTTCTAAAGCTTTGTTTAGGCACCTCCGACTTTAAAATTAGAGAACTGCAATTATGTCGAACCTTCAATATTATAAATTTTGATTTGTATTATGAATATACGTGACAAATTAAGAAAAGACAGCACACGACTTTTGTCAGGTCACACCACAGAAAGGCTTTATTATGTTTTCTTAAAACCCTGCAGCGAGGCACCTTGTCCAATATAACGGCCAACGCAGCACCTTGTTCCAAAATTGTCTCAGATTTATTTGTGGATAAAGCAATCCCTGGTTTAATGTCTTTTCAGTTTTCTTCAGCACAAATCAAACGGAATCCTTCCTAGATAGACTTCTCAGTATGTTTTGTGGGGGGAGGGTGTTCTTTGGGGGGCGTGGTCTGCAGTGGGGTGATCCTATGGAGGCACCTACGTCAGTTATTAACACTAATGCAGAACGTTGTGCCCAGATTGTCTCAGATTCGTTAAACGGTCCCTATTCAATGTTTTTTTTCTGTTTCTTTCAAAATAAATCAGACGGAGGCCCTCCTAGAAAGACTTATCAGTATGTTTTGTGGGCGAGTGTCCTTTTTGGGGGCGTGGTCTGCAGTGGAGGGCACTGAATTCAACGATACGGAAATACATCGGCGGTACCAAAAATACGCGGGAAATTCCCGCTATGCATGCTTGAATCAATGTGACTCGCTCATCCAGGGCCTTCATAGCACTACAGCTGGGCCTAGGCAGTGTAAATAATGCCACGTGGCCAGCCTCTCCAGACCCAGGCTCAGCCCTGTCAATCACAAGGGCTTATCCAGGACTCCAGGTCAACACACTATCCGTTTACAGTGCTGGCGCCAACCACAAGCGTCTAGACACATTGGCAAGCATCCAGACATTGGCCTGATGCATTTTCCAAAGGGGGAAGGAGTATTTTAGAGGGGAGTAGGTATTGTGTGCATTGTCATAATACAGCAGTGTTTTGTGCACAAACATATGGAAATGGATATGGAAATGGACCCCATGGATAAATGGATACATGACACCCCTTTCAATAGTTAAGTGGAGAAAAGTTAGGAAAAGTCACCGGAGTTCGATCAGGTAATGTGTGGCAGCTAGGAGAACGATCAAATCATGTGACTTCTGAGACATTCTTGAACCAAATGTTTTCTATTTCTGTGAACCTTTAAAATATAGCGAGAGCCCATTTTCCAAGTTGTGCCATGCTCAGCTAAGGTTCCATTTTTAGCTTATTGGATTCTACTTAAACCATTTACCTTTCTCATTGTTTCTCACGTGATAATACGTATCTTCGACGGTGACACAAAACCCGCTCCAAGTCATCACGTCCATGACAAAATTCACCCGTCTGGGCTGGCACATAACCACAATCCTTTTGTGACAAGGCACATCTCGGTGTTTGACGCAAGACTTGGAAAGTATTGAAAGTGAGGCTTAAACCCACATAAAATCGAAGATATTCTGATACCATTCCTTTAGACGGTTAACAATTTGGATCACGTAGACGATGAACAAGATCCAAAATGACGAGCTCGAAAATAAGGTCCATTCCAGCTTGGATAACAGTGAGTTCATCATAGTTTGCTTTCGTGTATATTCACAGGTTGATTCTGGTTCCACCTCGGCCCCAGAATGTCGCTTATTTTGCAAAACACACAGCAATGTCCCCTAGCAGGTCAGGGTTGACCTGTGGAAGGTATCTTAATTGCAAAGCAAAAGCTTCAGGAAAAGGAGGCGTCACACCCACCTTAAGCAGAAGCACTCCTTCGCCACGTGAACGAGTGCCAAGTTGGTCGGGAGTGTTCATTTTTGTTGGTAGCTATGATAGTATACCCTGTCTTGGCCAAACTTGGCGCTCTTTGTTTTTGTTTTTTATTGCTTTACAATAACTATTCGACAACCAGTCATGGGCAATCCTTGAAAATAGCTCTTTGAGAAGCTACTTTCTAGATGCATAATAACAAGCTAGCAGCATCGTAATGACATGTAAAGAATTATGGTCACTAACAAGGGAATTACACCTCTGAAAAACATTTTAATGCATTTTAATCGTAACTTAATTTGACTGTATTTTGAGGTTTAAATGATTGCTCAAATATATCTCCAGGTTAACCTCCCGTATAAAATCACCGCGAAGATGCAAAATTATGTTTTGTTACTAGTGGTCAATCGTGGGTGAGGCAAAGGATGCACTTATTACTATTTACCCCTTCGACGTGGTCAGTAATTACGTCATTTGTGTGTCCATTGTACTTGGACCTTCCATTGCAAACACATTATGTAATGTACTCCAGCTTTAACTTTATGGAAACGTTCTGCTGTCAAACCACCACTGATAATGCATTATAAATGCTTTAGATCACATACACACGTCAAACAATTACCCAATTACGATGCAATATTTGTTCAACAAGTTAGACTTACATGTATGGCTATTGATGCATGTAAAAGCCGTTGATCATTTAAGGCTGAGGGAAATTAGATTGCGTCGAGCCTGGAAATGTTTTGGTGATAACGTTTGTAATTCGACGTCAGGGCACCAGAAAATCTCAACACATTCACTGTTCAGCTTGCCCCGTCACGCATAAATTCAACAAATTGATCATATGTTTTTTAAAAAATAGTGGAAAATATTATATCTGCTGCATTTTTTCTGGTAGAATCCGATACTTTTCAGAATCCCGCAAAAATTTGCTAGAATACTCATTTTATTCATCATTTATTCATTATTGTACACAGGTAACAATTAGTCAGGAAATTTGATTTAATTTCTTCACCGATGCCCTCTAGCTCGAAAATCAAAAATTAGTTTGAAAAATAAGCTTAATTAGCATTTTTAATTGCATATCATCTACAACATGGCCAAAATTATCGACCATCAGACAACGTGATAAAGCACCTTCAAATTTTTTGTTTTGATGAATTTGATATTTGTGATAGTGTGTACTGTTCATATTCGAGGTTGAGCCATTACATTGCCTTTTGTGTTGTTTATTCTTTGGAAATTAATGTTAGCAGTGTTTGAGTGAGAGTTTAGTATAGTTATTGAAATTTAGTACAAATTATCGATTAACTTTTACCTGGAACAGTTTCAAAGTGAAGTCTTGGACTGTCTACCCCGAAATGAATTTGTCTCAATGTTGATGCGGTTTTTTATCACTCGCAGAGTTATAATATTGTCGATATGCGTGCTCAAAATCAACGTTAAGTGTAGGCAAATAACAAATAAAGTCCAACTTATGTGGGTGTTGTACCCGCAACATTTAGTGTATTCTATAAGTTCTAAATTGATCTTGTTTCAAAGCTTTTTTTCATCAGTCAGTTTTAATGTAAATGATTACTTTACTTCGTATTCCACACGTATCATTTATGAAAAGATAAGTGTCCCTATACCTGTGGAAATCACTGACACTCCTTACGCTAGCAATAATTTTAAGAGGTGTAGACGGCAATGTCTCACTTCCAGTCGTTAAGTCCAATAGAGCCAGGGCAAAATATGCCCTCTCATTTTCCCAGTATTTGTTATTTTTTCAATGAATAACGAGGTTTCGTACTCATTACTGGAAGAGTGCCAAA